CGTTACGTAGTGGGCTATATATAAGGTTAGTATAGGGATATACAGTCGCGCTCTCACCCTAAAAATCTGAACGAGTTTGAAATAAAAAAATTTAACTCATTCCAGTGGTTCAGTGTTCCTTTGCCTTGTGTGACTTTTCTGGTCTGATTTAGGGCAGTTCAGCTCGGTTTAAGTTCATCCGCTTTGGCTTCTACATAGGGGAAGTTATATAGAAGGGAAACAGACATCTATTAATTTTACTGATACTATCGTAGTTATACGTTTCTAGGCTAAGACTCCAGACTTTAGAGATCTGGGACCCGTTCCTCAAAAGTCCTGGTAACTAAACGGGCGCGAAGCCATGTTTTAAAGTCAAAATTTAAAGGATAGTAAAGCAGGTTCTGGCACCCAAACCAGTCTCTTTTGTTTTTTTAGCTAATATTTTTATTTTCTTGAATGAAAACAGAACAGCTTTACGGGCCCGTTAAGTTACCGGGAGTTTCGAGAAACGACCCCCTGGGCTAAGTTGTATGAAGGATGGATGACGCTACCTGAAGGATAAATCAGTATCCAGCGGATAAGGGACTGTAAAACCTACTTCGCTATCCTCCGGATAGGGATTGATCCAGTGGATATCTTTATCCAAACTTCGAACAACCTGGTCCTGGTGTGCCGGGCTTAAGCTTCTTACAAAAAAGTCTGGAAAACTCTCGCATAAAAGTCGAGATCCAAATGCAAGTTTCTCAAAGAGAGTTCACCTTTAATTTGTTTTAATCGATCGAAAGCGATCGATTATTAAAAAAAGATAAACGACATAATTTTAAATAAACGACATCGACTTAAAACGTTTCTCGATCAATTTCATCACAATTATGAAATAAAACAAGGTCACCAAGCTTATGTAAAAGCCGTACCAGTATTTGTTTAGCTTCTTCATTGATTGAAAAAAAAAACCGGGAAAAAAGTAGCTATCGGAATGCTGGCGCGCTTGTTCGCACCGCTCAGAATGTATTGTGCATTACTGAGGAATCACCTTACGCAATATTTGATGGATTAGGAAGTACTTGTAGCCTTAGAATAAATTGAATTGCATGGTACACAATAGAAGATAGGTTTTTGACCTGGGGTTAAAACGCTTAGCTACTTGGTAAGCAAATGGTAGAATCGTCACATAAAGCTGATTCAAGTGATTTAACCTGATCCTTACAAACATGCCCAGCCTCGAGAATAATCGCTTTAGTTAAATATTCTTTTATTTAAATAAATTTATTTCTTTAATTCATCACAAACATATAGTATGATGTTTCCCGACGCGGAACCAAAGTGTATTATAACAAACTGCGGGCGCAAGTCCTACCTAATTCCTAGGGAACTGCTATGGTGCAAGTCCGTGCACACATGATATGACGTGTGCAGGTTTACTTAGCTGCAAGTTCCTGTCGAGGTTTCAAACCTTTAAGGAAAGTTCTTCCTCTCCATCCAGATGGATACTCGTATTTGACGTCATCAAAGGCCTAGATATCGCGGATAATAAAATCAGAACATCAACAATTAACTGCGCGTGCTTTCTATCTTACATCCGAAAAAAAAGTTGAGTTTTTTTCGGACGTAAGAAATGAACAAAAGATCAATTACAGATTAATATTAATAAATTCAATTCGTTGAGAAGGGATGTAAAGAAACTTATTCGCAATAAGTACAATGCCTACATAAAATAGTTGGCTAATAATGTTGCAACTGATCCCAACAAATTTTGGAATTTTTACTGCTGTAAAACCAAGGCAGGCCCACAAGCTTCCTTCTACCATTAAGAGAGACATGACTGATCCTGTTCCTGCTACTAATCCTATTGATAAAGCCAGTTTATTCAATGACTATTTCTATTCAGTATTCAATCTCAAGAATGACCAGCCACCCCCAGCTGGATGTCATGCAATATTTCCTGTCAGTGAGTGCCTATCCAATATTACCCTGTCTGAATTTGAGATCTTAACAACTCTTCAGTCTCTTAACCCTTCTAAAAGTCCTGGTCCTGATGCTATCCCCTCACGGCTCTTAAAGGAACTGGCTCCAGATATCAGTAGTTCTATCACCTGTATATTTAACAAATCCCTATCTGAAGGGTCTTTCTCAAGTAAGTGGAAAGATTGCAATCTTACGCCTGTTTTCAAAAGCTGATCAAAGAGATATCGTCTCCAACTATCGTGGAATTGCTTTACTACCTATACTATCTAAAGTCCTTCAGAGACATGTCCACACAAGATTGTATCATCATGTCTTGGATTTTTTTAACATTAATCAGCATGGATTTAGGCAGCACCGATCATGCGTCACACAGCTCAGTTCAATTTGTGTACTCTACTGCAAAATCCCTTGATGCTGGCATATAGACAGATGTCATATACCTCGACATGGCTAAAGCATTCGATAAAGTTCCTCATGAGAAATTACTTTATAAGCTGGAGATGGTTGGTGTAAGGGGTCAACTCCTTGCTTGGTTTAGAAGTTATTTGACCAATAGGCGACGCAGAACTGTCATCGAAGGCCATGCTTCTGACTGGAGATATGTTCCATCTGGTGTCCATCAGGGTTCAATTATCGGTCCTCTTCCTTTCCTTATATTTATTAATAATATTGCTGTTAACATCGATGCTGATACAAATATCCACCTTTATGCAGACGATGCAAAATGCTTTAGAGGATTGCTGAGTTTAGATGATCAGGACGCTCTTCAAAGAGACCTCTATTCAATTGAAGACTGGAGCGACCTCTGGGGTATGTCCTTTAATGCTTCTAAATGCATCTCCAAAAAGAAAAAAAAAGCCTACGAATTCATCTTATCAACTTGGTAACAATGTCATTGCGAAGACACGGTGTGAAAAGGATCTAGGAATTCTTGTTAACAATAAATTTTCCTGGCATGATCATATTATTAACAAAGTCAGCACAGCTAATAAGGTTTTGCGTCTAATAAGAAGATCTTGTGGGTCGTGTGCCATTGCTGATGTTATTAAAAAGCTGTGTGTTTACCTCGTTAGACCACATCTTGATCACGCCTCTCAAGTGTGGTCTCCTCTTCAAGCTTATTTAAGCGATATGCATGGTAGAGGCTGTACAACGTCGGGCGACTAAGCTCATGGTCGGGAATAGGATTTCTTACAAAGAATGTTTGAATAAGACTGGTTTGCTGCCACTATCCTCTAGACGTATCTATTTAGACTTCATTTTTTTATTCAAATGCCTGCATAGTTATTATGACCTCGACATCTCTAAGTATCTGCAGTTTTATGATTCTGAGCATGAACCCCATAATTTAAGGAACACTGTACTAACTTTTAAAACTAACTATGCAAGAACAGAATTATTTAGGTCGTCTTTTTTTCCCAGAGTTGCTCGTCTTTGGAACAATTTACCTATATATCTATTAGGAGAAGGGAATCACTTTCTATGCTCAAAATGACCTAAGACTCTATTGTTTGGCTATTGATAGCTGTGATTTAATGTAATTGTTATTTAATTTTAGTTAGCACTAAGTTTTAACATGTAGCATTTTACTATACTCGTTTTACGATACTGCCTGTCATTATGTATATACTTTATTTATGTTCTTGTTTTCATGTATATAGTTTCTGGTGGCCTTTATCATTAGGGAAGTTCATTCCTGTTGCTAGGTCTTCCAACAGCTATTTAACTATATGTTTGTATGTATATATATTTATTTGCTGTAAATTGATTAAAGTATTTTCCCACTTTTGTTAGGCAACGCTCTCCAGCGCGAGCTTGTGATACTGAAAATGTGGACTGCGTGACTGATAGTAACGATGTCTAAAAAGCTCGAAATTATTTTAGAGGTTTAGGACAAATGCTCTCGTGTATTGTTTGAACTGATCATTTTGTTCCATAGTTCTTGCAGGCAAAAGAAGCCTTACGGTTTCGTTTGATTTTAGAAAAAATAACATCATACTCTTTACTGTTAGCAGTACATTAACATCTTTGATGCCATGATGTGCATTTTTTGTAGCTATTAAATTAGCTAACAGTGAAGTCCTTCTCAGTCACTTTGGTGCTGGATCAGTGATGGTTGGTTCCACATCACTCATTTCTCTTGGCACCATTGGACTGACTTGAGACTTTCTACAGTTGATGAAAATCAGTGCGAAAGGAATAACAAATGCTGACATCAGAACTCCACCTGTCATATAAAACGAATTGGTATAGTTCCCACTTTGGTCCGCCATCAAACCTGAGGAAAACAACACAGACAGAAGAAATCTAGAGTGCAGTGTCCTGATAACGCATTTTAAAACAAAGCTCGAAAAGGATAGGCTCCTTCAGTAACCATGTGACAGAACTTGTCAATTATGTAGGGATTTTCTTACCAGCAATAGGTCCACCAGTAGCCGCTGAAAATGAATAAAGCAAGTTGAGGATACAAAATGAAGCCGTCGCTCTTTCTTTATCCACACAGCTAAGCAAGATGTAACATTGTGTGGTTATGAAAATTCCATCGCTTATTCCATAGGCGCAGCTGAATACAACTAAGGCCCAGTATTTGGTTGCCAAAGGTAAGAGGAGTACAGATACACCAGCGATAAACAGTGATGACTGATAAACAAATATCGGGTTCATCTTTGGATAGCTGCACAGTTTTCCTGAAGTTATCCGAGCGAGGGAAGAGGTAAGGCCAATGAAGATGAACAGTCGAGAGGCGCTCTGCGCCGTGATCCCAAGATCTTCACAGTACTTGACCTGGTTAAAATTAATACAAATACCCTATTATAAAATTCTTAATGGAGAACATGGAAAGAAAATGAGGCAACGCAGGAGTTGGTCATATCATTATCGTAAACATCTAAACTTTTGGTAGTTCTGTCGTGTTTTGAGCAGTTATCTTTATTCAAAGCATCCCAACCAGCCGTACTTTTAAGAATTTTAAATTGATTGACTAATCTCACTTTCCGGGCCAGTTCCTGTGCTTGGGCACAGCCATGGTCTATCGTTGCTAGACTCAAACCATTCTCTAGACCATGCAGTATAGTACAGTTTTCTTAACGAGGGACCTCCGCTCATGCGACTTATATAACAAATATGTTCTCATCGTTTTCTCAGCAAACGTATTAGCAGGCGAAAATATTGAAATTATTGGTATTAGCTATACTATAAACAGCTGTATACTAACTAGATTGATGTATGGAATATACATTCCAAAAGATCCCACCATCAAAGAAATGACGACAAAACTGTAAACAGGAAACGTCCACACGCTGCAGTAAAAAGAGATTCTGCCCTTAATTCCAACTTCTTGCTCCATGTCCAATGTTCCTGATTTTACCTTCATCACCATCGTTGTTTCTATTACGTTTGGATTGAAATTAAAACTCAAAATGCAAACAAGAACGAAGGTTGCCGTCATAATTCTAAATGAGTTTCTCCATCCAAACGCGTCCAAAAGAGCCTGAAGCAACGGGCCTGTGTAAAGGACACCTACACTTGACCCCAGTGCTGTTATACCAACAGCTAAAGGGAGTTTTTTATTGAAATATTTTCCAACAACCAAAAAGTTAGAGTTATAAATGAAGCAGGCCCCCAAGCCGTACACCAAACCGTATGTAAAGTACATCACTGTGAGGCTATTGGCAAAGGAAGTTGCTAGCAGACCTATCACGCAGAGCAATCCTCCTAATAAACACGTGATGCGACAGCCAAAGTGATCGCACAGGTATCCAGCCGGCAAACTTGCAAACCAAACCATAGCTAGGCCGATTGAACCAACCCAAGCTGTGAAAGAGACGAATTTCAAATTGATTTAGCTCCTTTCAATGTAGTGGTCAGGGGAAAAAATATGATTATGGACATCTCAATTCATTAGGCTTCCTTTTCAGATCCTATCAACAAATTTGATCATATCACCCCTGTATTGCTTCAACTGCATTGGTTACCTTTTCACTTTCGGATTCTTTTTAAAGTTTTATTGTTAGTTTATAAGGCCCTAAATGGTATGGCACCATTATATATCACGGAATTACTTAGCTATCGTACATGTTCACGTACGCTATGTTCTACTGATCAAAAATTTCTGGCTGTTCCGAAGTCAAGACTTAAAACATACGGAGAGAGGGCCTTTTCCGTTGCTGCACCTAAACTCTGGAACGAACTGCCATTAGATCTTATTAGTTTAGATACAATTAATTTATTCAAGAAACACTTAAAGACCGATCTTTTTAAAATAGCATATAATGTTTAACTTTTTGATAAATTGGGAATAGGATTTACTGTGATATTTTTATAAATAAGTCTGCAAATAGGTTTTTAATTTATTCATATTTTATTACTAGTGGGGATCTTTTTAATTATTTTAATATTATGAATTATAAAGCGCTTTGGTCGGTTAGTGGAGTTAGCGCTATATGAGTTATGTTAAATTAAATTAAAGTAAAACTATCAGAACAAAAGCATGTTATCTATTTCAAACGGCCGAAGCGGTACAAGATTGTGGAAGAATCTTCTAGCGCCCGCTTGCATCTCATAAATTTAAATGATTAACAATTGAATATCTTCGCATCATGCCTCCTGGAACTCATCGAGATTATGAGCCATTAACGTAAGAAATCGTGTTTAAACAGCGATAGTAACTTCAAAATCAAAACAGGTTACAAGTTAACATCGTTAACTACAAGGAAGTGACTTTATTATTCAGTTAATGAAGTATCATACCATAAGCGGCGCTAAGTGACTGTTCATATCTCATCGAAAATCGAATTCATTCGATTACGACGCTGTGATTACCAATCAGGGTTCACTGAGTTTTCAAAAATCTGCTTCGTAGTTTATTCATACAACTTGTTCATATCCAACGCAGACTTCATTTTTACATAACGAAATTTAAGTTCCCAAACAGACCTATTTCAATCCACAGCTTACACCACTGCCATCTGTTTTATTAAGTTACGTAATCAGCAGAGGCTTCCTGTTTATCTGTACACTAAAGAAGGGGAAATTGGACAGAGTCACTCATCAGAGCCGAACAGCAAAATCAATCTTTAACTCATGACTTTTTTATTATTAAAACAGGTTTCTGATCAGCGTACCTGTTTTCCCTCTTGTGGCATTAAAGTGCCTCATCAACTCCGGGAACAAAACGCCAAAGCTGAGCGTAAAGCCCAGATTAATTCCATTACACATAGCCGCCGAAAAACATACGACCCACGACCACAAGCTATCTTGGAACTTTGTACCACCAAAGAACCGCTTCAGCTTTTTGAAAGCGTTTTTGCTGTCTTCTCTGTTATGCATTGAAGTTGGAATTCACCCAGGTCGCTCTAACAGAACTCACGCATATTGATTTTATTTCAACCGGTCGAAAAACTCGTCGGAGTCGGAATTACATGCATGCTGCGCTTCTGTATGCAAATAAAGCCTCATTACGTAGTTCACACAATCATCCCGCACGCCGAGGGCAAAATGCAGTCGATGGATCAAATCCAATCTCTTTTTTTATATTTTCTACAAGCCCGTATACATCAATATAGAACTTCTGGGTTTATGGTTCTTAATGTTCGAGGAGATGTGCAAAACATAACTTCATCGAGGAGTATTCTCGTTTTATGTTTAACATGAGTACGTGTTAAAAGAAAGGAAACATATTTCGTTAATGTGAAAAATGTGGCTCAATTATGACTATTATATTCTTCAGAAATTGCTAACTGCCTGCGTTTAACCTTGCAAACATTTAATTTCTTTTAGTTGTAAGCCCAACGAGAGAGAACCGAACATTGGAGTAACAATGAGCCTGCATGATAGTCCCCTCTTGGCCTCATAGACACATTTTGAGAACTCTTCAGCACAATTTAATCCTGTGCTTGATAAGCTAATTCATTTGTCTCCGATGTTGAAAAATGAGTTCATTCAAGGTTCAAATCAATGAACGATTTCAACCGATGAGATTCTCTCGTGCAACTGCGCGTCAAAGTGTAGGCTTTGACGGACTCAACGAGCTCGCCAATAGTTACATGCAATATCGAAAATTGCCTGAAAGTGAGTGCATTATATTGCATGAGACTTGGTAGCAGAGATTTCTATAAATCAGAAAATAATCTCGCACTTTTAATCTCAATTTTTATTACATGCTAAAGATAAACAGGTTACGTAATAGCAAAGAAATAACCAAATAATTCACAACACTATTATAGAGACGCTGTAACTCAGATGTCGAAGCATGACAACCTCAAAGGGCGATGACTTCATTCCACAATTTTAGGTGACTTAATACAAGGCGTACATATCCCGATAGGAAAAAAGAACAAAAATAGTTAACTGCGCATGCCTTAACCTCGCCAGAGATTACTTGTAAAGTTGATAATTGCATGAAAGTGAGTGCCGTTGCGTGACTTATGGTAACAGTGGTGTCTAAAAATACTCGTGCGTTTTCAGCAAATTCCCATTTTTCCAAAAAAAGTTTTGTATTAAAATTGTATTTACTATTGCTTAAATGTTTGCTGAGCTTTTTACTTCGGTAGTCATAATCTGATTAGTTGAGAAACTCTCACGTGTATCAATTTGCAAAGAAAACTCGGAACTCAGTCTAATTGTTACATAGTTTATCCTAAAGACTCCTAGAAAACTACTGCCCTTTGATACATCTATCCACCCAATGATATCTATTCAGCATACTCTCCAAATAGACTGAAAGTACTGTACACCTGCATATCTTAAGGTCCGAGCGTGGTTTGGGGACGAATATTTGATCGCTCCGCGTTAATGCAATTTTTTCACTCTAACTATGCCTCATCCGTCTGTTAATTCGCTTAAAATACAAAATGACAGCCTCAAATGCGAAATTGCTTCCCCAAAGAGACATTTTGAAGACTTTCAGAATTCGCTCAAACTTAGCGTCAACGATGCCAATGTCTCCAGCAATGACGGCGAAGTGAGTCGACCGGCGACATCATTGGACGAGACTTTGAGACACTCTGCAATTTTATGGCAAGTCTTACGATGACCTTCGCCAGGAAGCGGATAAAAGTTTACAACAGCTCTGGTCACGCCTGAATGTCCTATTTAAACGAGTGGAAGAGACTGGGAAATCCATCGAGCTGATTCAGCGCTACAGCTATCAGTACAACGTAAAGATCGTCGGTCTCCCTGAAATAATGGCAAGTGAGTCAACCTCCAACACAACTATAGTATCTATTAGCCTCTTTCAAGCTGCAGGAGTTGAAATTTCTATTCAAGATGTCGATATTCCTTATCGTATTCCCACCAGTAAACCCCACTACTGGTCCGAGACCAGTCGTTTGCAAGTTCACAAGAAGGTGATTGCTACAGAGAAGGTCAGGAATGTACGGAAAGATGCATGCAAGGTTACAGCTTCTTCGATTGGTTTACCTGTCGATTGCAAACTAGAAAACGTTAAGCTTTTTGATCATCTAACTCCGCTGGTCCAACAACTCCTGGCGGATACGGAAAAATTTCAAACTCGTAATGGCTTCAGGTTTTGTTGGTGCAAGAACTTCAACATCTATTTACGGCGAACCGAAGACTCCCGCCCTGTCAAGCTCAAAGCCCTTGACGACCTTGAAAGATTTTCCCGGCAAGATAGGCTACCTTCAACGGCAAGTACTCTGAGTTTTGAATTTTGTAACTTAATTTGTAATTTAATCTGCTGCTTCTATGATGGCTGATGAGACATCCCTTCAATCTTTCCTCCCTTTGAATCACTTGGATGATACTTCTTTTAATTTAACTAACTAATCCCTCTTTTCGTTCTTACCTCGGTGATAATAACCATCCCTCCATTAACAACTAGTGAACTGGAAAGCATTTGTGGCATTTTCGCTTCAAAGAAAGCTCCTGGCTATGCCAGTATCTATCCCAATACATGTCATTTAATTTTCATTTCACCTTATTTCTGCTCCTTTGGCAGATAATATCAATTTATTTCTCCTAAAAGGTATTTTCCCGGAGAAACTTAAAATCGCTATAATTATTCCATCTTCAAAGCAGGGGATCCTAGCTTTTTGCAAACTACATAGCTATTTCTTTGTTGCCTAATTTTTCCAAATTTTTCGAAAAAGTTCTGAGTAGAATCATTTGCCGAAAAACACGAAATACTTTACCGCTGTCAGTTCGGATTTCGGAAAAATCACTCGAAATCGCACGCGCTAATTCATTTGGTAAATAAAATTACTTCTACAATCGAGCAACACGAAACAACGGTGGTTGTTTTCCTAGATCTTTCCAAGACATTCGACACTCTAGACCATCAAATCTTGTTTGCCAAATTGGAGCACTATGGTATCGTGACGTGGCTCTGCAGTGGTTTAAAAGCTACTTTTCTTGCCGCCAGCAATTTGTCCAATTCAATCAAGCTTGCTCTTCAAAGAAAATCATCAAGTGTGGTGTCCCTCAGCTCTGCTCTCTAATGCCTCTGAATTAACAGATCCCATGCTCTTCGCTGATGACACCAGTATCTTTTATTCTCACTCAAACCCAAATTGCTTAGAATCCGTACTTAATGATGAACTCCAATTCAAAATATTCATGTTTGGTTAAAATGTAATAAGCTTTCAGTTGATATAAAGGAAACAAATTACGTCATTTTTAAACCCAGACAGAAGAAATTCAACTCCAGCATTTCTCTCTCCTTTGGAGGTAAACTCCCCGGCTACAACGATCTAATATAACTAAATTCCTTTGGGTCTGTATTGACGATCATCTCACCTGGAACACCATATCAGTTATGTATATAAAAAAATTGCTAAATCATA